TCGACTTCGTCTTTAGTAATTACATTTAGAATATCAAGAATTTGTTCATTTCTTGAGGTCAGTTATATACGAGGACATGTAATGTAATTAATAATTAAGCACCATTCTTTGATTATAATACAAGCACATATTCTCAACTATAATAAATAAGTATGACCTGTATATTGCAAAGAAGAAATATAACCGAGGAAAGAAAGAACAAAAGAAAGAAAGTAAGAAAGAAAGAAGCTGAACTTCTACTGTACATATAATTGTACTACACCAGAAAGGCTTGTTAGAAATTTTAAATAGTTTGAGTATCAGATCAGTGTATCAAACTCGCGACCGTTGACCACTGTGCCAGTATTTTAAATAATTCGTTCGATTTTATGTATGTTGTTAATGCATACCTAAGTCTAGTGTGGAGTTTGTCTCCTTCGGCTAAAATAGCATTTATTCCAACAGGTGTCAAGTTAGTGTAAGATTTTTGATGTATAATGGCTGCTAGGGCCATGCTCGTACATTGAACACCGGCATACTTTCCGGGTAAACGGAATTGGTTCGTATTTCCAATTGTGTAAGAGAGAGGACCTGGTTAGACAGAACCAGATGTAGCAGAAAGATAGATTAGAATAAAAGATGGAAAATATAGATAAGGCATAAAGATGGATTAGAATAAAAGATAGAAAATACAGTTAGGCAAAAAGATGGATTAGAATAAAAGATAGAAAATAAAGATAAGGCAGAAATATGGATTAAAATAAAAGATAGAAAATAAAGATATAGTAGAAAGATAGATCAGAATAAAAGATGGAAAATACAGATAAGGCAGAAAGATGTATTAGAAAAAAAGATAGAAAATACAGATACATGTATAGCAGACAGATATATTAGAATAAAAGATAGAAAATACAGATATAGCAGAAAGATACATTAGAATAATAGATAGAAAATACAGATTTGAAGAAAAATTGATTAGAAAAAAAGAAAAGAAAATATAGATTTGAGAAAGAATTTATTATAATAAAAGATAGAAAATACAGATATGGCATAAAGATAGATAAGAACAAAGATAGAAAATACATATATGGCAGAAAGATAGATCAGAATAAAAGATAGAAAATACAGATGTAGCAGACAGATAAATTAGAATAAAAGATAGAGAAAAAACAGATATAGCAGAAAGATAGATTAGACTAAAAGATAGAAAATACAGATATAGCAGAAAGATAGATTAGAATGAAATAAAGAAAATACAGATATAGCAGAAAGATGGATTAGAATAAAAGATAGGAAATACGGATGTAGCAGAAAGATAGATTAGAATAAAATATAGAAAATACAGATTGGGCAGAAAAATAGATTAGAATAAATGATAGAAAATACAGATGTAGCAGAAAAAATTATTAGAATAAAATAGAAAATACAGATATTGCAGAAAGATACATTAGAATAAAAGATAGAAAATACAGATATAGCAGAAAGATACATTAGAATAAAAGATAGAAAATACAGATATGCCAGAAAGATAGATTACAATTAAAGATAGAAAATACAGATATAGAAGAAAGATACATTAGAACAAAAGATAGAAAATACAGATATGGCAGAGAGATAGATTAGACTAAAAGAAAATACAGATATGGCAGAAAGATACATTAGAATAAAAGATAGAAAATACAGATATGGCAGAAAGATAGATTTAAAAAAAATAGAAAATACAGATGTAGCAGAAAAAATTATTAGAATAAAATAGAAAATACAGATATTGCAGAAAGATACATTAGAATAAAAGATAGAAAATACAGATATACCAGAAAGATACATTAGAATAAAAGATAGAAAATACAGATATGGCAGAAAGATAGATTACAATAAAAGATAGAAAATACAGATATAGAAGAGAGATAGATTAGAACAAAAGATAGAAAATACAGATTGGAAGAAAAATAGATTAGAAAAAAAATTAGAAAATATAGATATGAACGAAAGATAGATTAGAATAAAAGATAGAAAATACAGATATAGCAGAAAGATACATTAGAATAAAAGATAGAAAATACAGATATGGCAGAGAGATAGATTAGACTAAAAGAAAATACAGATATGGCAGAAAGATACATTAGAATAAAAGATAGAAAATACAGATATGGCAGAAAGATAGATTACAATAAAAGATAGAAAATACAGATATAGCAGAAAGATACATTAGAATAAAAGATAGAAAATACAGATATGGCAGAGAGATAGATTAGACTAAAAGAAAATACAGATATGGCAGAAAGATACATTAGAACAAAAGATAGAAAATACAAATATGGCAGAGAGATAGATTTTTTTCCTTCAGCTCCATCTCCAGCCCACAGATCATATCGAAAATGCTTTCTCTTTTCAAATTCTATAGTAATGTTTTATCCCAATGAATCAAACAAGTAATGGTTGTGGGTTATAATAATTAACACCATGATAAATGATGTACATCATACAATGATTTATCATTACAACATGATCAAATATTACAAAAAACAAATCTATTTACCATTTCCAAGCCTAAGTGTACATCCGTGTTTGTTTGTATGCACTACTACAGCATTATTTGTGTTATGATCTGCACCTCCACTCTTACAGCAACTCATCTGGAAAGTACATAAAACCTTAACATGGCATCTTAATTGTTGTAAGTGGTGTAGATTGTCAGAAATGTTATCATACTGCAGCAACCTTTTAACACAAAGTTACTAAAATATTTATTATGAATAATAATGCAAAATAATCAGTTAGTACTCAAGTTCAATTTCTGATTTTCTAAAAGACTTGTCACTTTAGATTCCTTCTAGTCAATGTAAGCACTTGCGGGATAACAGCTGAACAATGCAATTAGCTTAAAGTGAGTCCGTGATGGTTATATTTGTATCATCAAACCCCCCCCCCTGGTTTCTTTCTGTGAACTCAGCGCAGGAAAAGGCAACCACGCATTAAAGCCCCTAGATATGACATAGATCTAGATAATAGAATAAAGGTTATAATAATATTATAAATAATTGAATTAAGGATTAAGGCCTGCAATATTAAATGTGCTTTTTAATTTGGCAAATGAATAATATTTTAGTCTAGATTTAGTATATTATATAAGATTGTAGATGTTATCAAGTTGTGACGTCACAAGAAAGTGACATCCAATAGGATATTTTGACACATTGCTAAACCTAGCAACAGTGATTGGATATAAACCAAATATTCTGATTGGTTGTTCAAAACAAATTTATTTATTTATTTACTGATCTATCAGTATCTATATTTGTTTATTTATATATTCCATAACACACGCTATTTAATAGAATACAGGTCACCTCATAAACAAGTGTTAGGCTTTTAACAATGGCGATGATGATGTTGACGTTGATGATGGAGCTAAATTTGTTCTAATTTTAAATTTGTAATAAATCTGTTTAAAACCTCATGTTTAGGTTCACAACAAGTAATTTTATATAAGATGAATGGGAAACAAATAAGATCTGTGCAAAGGCAAAAAAATATCAGTATTCAAATTTAAAGGCATGAATGGTCTCCACCTTTGCAATTACCTTGTACCATACAAAGTAGACATATAACAATAATATCATGTATTAATTTATACATCTGTAAACACTAACATAAATCATCGGTTATATAAGGGCTTATGATATAGCGTACTTGTAATTGTTAATCTTATTCTATTATCAATACGGTCATAGACAAAATACTGCCAACACTTATTCTATTACCAATACAACCATAGACAAAATACTGCCAAACCTAATTTCCCTGAAGTAAACGTAATCCATCTTAAATAGTGTTGTTCTATTGTTCCCTCTGCTAATAATACACTTTAATATCAAAATTATCAAAATAACACTTTTAAGTTTTATGAATTAATTGTTGTATACCCATAAAATACATACTCTCGTATAAGTGATTCCTATCAAAATTTTAAGTAGTATATTTTAAACTCTTTACCTTAATAAAATAATTTTCCATGGAAATTTATGTCATCATACCTGTAAGTTGTAACTATTTTCCACATTTCATAACGGTAAAATTACGTGATCCTAAGCATGCCATTTTATAGCATGCGACTCATCTGAAATGAAATTTCCGGCACGGAGACACCAGTCTGATATACAAGAAACGTTTTTCTCATTTTATTTCCTGGATTTGAAATATGTTTATGTGTTCTTGAGATATCTTTTTCTATTTGTATTTCTTTCTGACCGTGGTTCTAGTCGTTTATTTTGAATGTTTTCATTACGTAGTTATTATTTTTTATTTTTAATCTTAAAATTTTAGTAATGAAAAAATATACTATAAAAGCCGCTTGAGTTACCGACTTATCTTTTATCTGTTTATCATTTTGAGATTATAAAGGGCAACAATACCTTTTAGATAATTCTTGTTTGTGTACGATGGGTTATCTCTCATCTTTACCAAATAGGATATACCACAAGCGGAGGGAACTCAAGCCAAATTTCATTTTTTTTTCAATATTAATTCACCGGTGCTACCGTTACATCAAATAACGTTACAATTACATCTATTGTCTATCCGTGGCCAATTATTGAATGTGCTGTTTAGCGTTTGTGGTACTACCTTTGTTCCTTATATCTAACCTGTACGAGTTTGACAACTTAAAGCGATTCGTCTTTTATGCTTGAAAACTCTTACATGTTCTTCAACTGTGTTTGCTTTAAGAATCATATTCTTACTTGTAGTTACCACAAACGCTAAACAGCACATTCAATTATATATGCTTACAATAATAAGAATTAAAGCATTGTATAATCTTTTTATAAACGTGAAAGAATATAATAATGCGCAGAGAGTGTTCCTTTGCCAGAAACAGTATGCCTTTAAAACCAACGTAGAAGTTAAATAATAAAATGAAGTAGTCATATGATATAATGAAGTAGTTATTCGATATAATGAAGAAGTCATTTGACATTTTGAAGTAATCATGTGATGTAATGAAGTAGTCATATGATATTATGATGTATAATGAGTTTCTTCTGATATTTTACCTTCCATGGTTGTGGTGATGACTTATGGAAACGACACTGAACTTCATGAGGCATCAGCCGGTCGAATACAGTCATACAATTTTTGCATTTCGGTAGAACAGTCGGTGACTGGGAAAATACACGCCGTCTCCGCTTTGAAAGTGGGACCGAGCAGCATACGTTGTTTTGTTCTAATTTAGCTTCACCAGAACGAAACTATTGATATATCAAAGATAAATAATTTTGGTTACCATTTAATTTGTACACAAAAAACGAAATCGGAGAAAAAACATATCGAATATGATAAAAAAAGTTCAGAATTAAGTTATGAAAAGGGGTGACTTATTTTCTTTACTTATGACATCTTAAGTTTGTTTGTATATACATGTATATACATGTATTGATAAGTTAATATACCTTTATACTGGAATTCTTTCTTCGGTTTTCTTCTTTTTCTTTTCTTTCGTTCTCGTATTTCCCTTGCCAATACGATACTTGCAGCATCATTTGTTTTTCCTGACAGATACAATGAACGCATACAGAAATATTTCTTGATTAACCCATAATAGCCCGAAATCAAACGTGTTTAACCTTTGCCATCACAAAAAGAGCCAGGCCAGACGAAGAGTCTGACCAGGTTCTATACTGTTGGCAGCTCACCTTTGTCGAAGCTCACCTTTGTCGGATTCTCTGAAAATTCTGACTGTCCTTAATTCAAAAGTAATGCAAATCCGTATCATAAACCAAGTTAATGGCAACAGGGGTTTATCAATATCATTTCTCTCAAGCACTGTTGAACATGTTCAATCTAATAAATCAAGATTTCTTTGACTGGTCAATAATTAAACGACGTTATTACTTTCGAGCTTTCGAGGGTTCCCACCTTTTTACATCTTTCACAACAATCTTTAACTCGATCAAAACTCTTTGTTATTAGTTCACAAAGTACACGGTACACTGTATACATTATATCATGCTTTTACTATTAAATAGTTTCATACCAGGAAGAATAAATATGAATTTATACGCAATGTAAACTAGTTTAATACATCAATACAAAAGCCATGGGAAAAAAATGTTAAGAGATCTTATTACCTTTTCCTTTGCATCGTTACAAATCTTCAATATCTGCCTGTAACGGTCATCCAGTTTATCTTTGTAGGCATCAATCTCCTTTGTATATCTAACTGCCTGTTCTTTTTGAAACTCCAGATCCTCAAATAGTGTCTCCCTATTCTCTTCGATCGCTACCTTTTCAGCCTGCACTCTAACGAGCTTTTCTACTACAGCACTTTTGTTTCTCTTTATTACTTATATTTCCTGTAGCTCGGCATTCTGTGATGTAACTATACCCTCAAGTTCTCTAATTCTATGGCGGAGTTGCTGTTCAACCTCACTTTCATGAATCGTATTAGAGGTCTCATCATTTCTTTGCTGAGCACTTGGTGATAACTCATGGTTATGATCGGGTTGTCGGACCTCTTGGAGGTCAATGTACCCGCTAGACATATTGACCTCGGTCCTGATAAATGTTCAATATATCTCAATACCCAGTATTCTCTACAATAAGTCCTGGATAAGTTTTAACAAAGTGTGAAGTTTTGAGAAAACTTTAGAATTTATATCCGTAAAATGATATCCCAACCATGTCTATTTATAGACAATTCGTAATAATTTTTCCCCACGGAAAGTACTAATAACGTCATTGTGTTTGAGAGACCGGTGTGTATATAATGCCTATAACGTAGTGTTTAATCCTGACTTCAAAATATGTTGTTTGAAGTCAGAATTAAACCAACCCTTACGTTATGATTTAAAAATCTATTTACTTTGGGCGATAAAGGCATACAATTTCTGTGTTATAATTATAATAGTTACTTCACGGTTATTAGGTTAATTTAAACGTAATAAAGTACACTCTTTAAAATCTTTCCTGATTTTGGATATATCACATGTCGGGCATAATCGTAAAACGACAAAGTTTACAATACATTGTTTATGTGTTGTTATTTAAGTCCTCCAATACATTGTTTAAGTGTTTTGAAAAGCAATTGTTGTTGTGGTTGTTGTTGTTGTTTGTTCTTGTTTTACCTTTCAATACTTGTAAACGAAAGAAAAATAAAATTATCATACCAAATTACCTAATTGTGAGGATGATCCGTGTACATTCTCGACTTGGCATGAAGTCATTGCTAAAACTTATATAATTAGAAACTGTTGAATATTTTGTTAGGGGACGTGTTATAATGCTTTCATGTATAATTTATGTGCGCATATTTCGCCAATGCATAGCCTGCACAATAATTTTTTTATAATGAATAATTTGTCAGAGT